GGTTAAGAATTTATTTATGATTTGGCAACAACAGAAAATAATAATGCAATCTCCTCATCTGCTTGAAGCACATTTTGTATTGGTAGAAAGACAAACCAACCAACAAAAACAAAAGTTGTAGATAATAAACTATATAAATTTGTTCAGCCCTAATTTAAACAATGTATAAACCTCACACATTGCATTGGCAATAAAATCAATACATGATCTATTTGCTTTATTGGCAGACTCAAAAAATTTCCCAATGATTCATGATTCAATAATTTTTTCGATCACTTCGCACTGCGTTAAAAGAAGGCACAGACAACAACCAAACAAAGATTGATCGCCAGTGATTAGTTTGATCCTAAACGTGGCTGCATTTATAAAGGAATAGTGGACTAGTAAATGAACAAAAACCGAACGATTGATTGATTGTAATCATTACATGCAAATGAATGTGATCAACTAGTTGAAATAACACCTGACAAACAACCAACTGTCTCTATACAAGAAACATTCACAGACTTCAATCAACAAGCAACACGGTGCCAACAACAGAATAGTTCCTGTTTTCCTGTTTTGATTGAAAATAGTGCGCGCACACACACACACCACACACACACACACCACACACACACACACTACACACACACACACACACACACACACAAGATACACACACACAAACATAAACCACACACTAACGCACATATATAAATATGTATTTAATTTTTATTACAATTCTCTCTTCAATATTTTTCAAAGGTGTCCACAATAAGCACACAGTATTTCTGTAAAATAACGTGAAACAACGCCTCCCACACACTGTATGTGATAGGCGGAACCTCTTTGCAATCGAGTATAGTCTCAGCAATAGCATTGCCATACACCTTACCGTTACACCATCACGCTCCAATATATATGTAAGAGTTCAACAGAGGTTTCCAACAATAAAAAATTATAATCGTTCCCGAAATGTAGCGATGACTGCGAATGTGAACACCGGCTGTCACGTTGTCTTCGGAGCTTCTGGCGAGGCCTTGTTGACTGCCGACGTGTTGTCACTTCGCCGCTATTGAAATGCCGTGTCGTTTGTTGAGAGACCAAAGAAGATGACCAGCCTATAAAGAAACCCGACGCCTAATTCGCATCAAAGTTCAATTTGACAACACCAAAGTTAATTTTTACAACGTCAAAGTTCATCTTGACAAAGTCAATATTTCCCTATATATAGAGCAGTGGCGTCACTAGGGTTGGTGTCACCCGGTGCGGTAACTCATGGTGTCACCCCTCTCATGACACCCCATAGACATACAGCATTCTTAGCAAAATTTATAAACACGAACAAGTTAAATGTGCTCGGCCGCGGCGCTTAATAATTCGGACGTCGAATTTGAATGGTATAAATGTCGAATACAAAAATGATTTGAACGAAAAAAATTTTATTCATAATACATTTCTGGGCGCTGGGCGGGTTAGGCTGAATTAATGATAAGAATAATTTCATGGAGGGACATAAAAACATATACAGTGATATTTTGGTGTCACCCCCTGTGAGGGTGTCATCCGGTGCGGTCCGCACCCCCCGCACCCCCCTAGTGACGCCACTGATATACAGCAAGGAGCACTGATGATGATTCATTCGGAATCGAAATTTATTGCAGCATGAATTCGAAAAATAAGTTTATTTTGAATTTTAATAAACTAAACCTTCACCAAAAAACTTTAGTGAGAAAAATCGAAAAAACGAACTACAAACATATTAACGCCAAACATTCAGTAGAATTTATAGAATATTGTAAAAATTATGGTCTATTACCAACATATATATATATATATATATATATATATATATATATATATATATATATATATATATAATAGGGTGGGTCAAAAAAATTTTTTTTTTAGTAAATGAATTCTAATAGCGAAATTATGTTGTAATAAGACATCATAATGAACCATTTAAAATATTATTGAAATATTTTAAGTGGAAGAGCCCGCGCAAAGCCGATGAAGTTTTGTGTTAAAAAAAAGCGAAAAATGAAAATATAGCTATTTAAATAGCGTTTATCTAGAAAACAACGGGCTATCACTTTTTTTAAAATCAACGCTTTGTTGCTATGGTTATCTTGGTCGTCGTTTGAAATTCGTTGAAATACATGTTGATTTTGGTATTTAAATTATATCATTTATTCTAAACCTGTTTTTGGCGGTAAACACATTTATAATTTTATTTGAAAATCCATTAATTACTGTTTTTTTTTCTAGAATATTTAGTTAAGTTTAAACAAAAGAAATATACCGAGAAATAGACCGTCGTATAAGTGTCCTATATTTGGAACTATACAAGATATGAAGGATAATGTTTTACCGACATACCAGGATGTCATGAAGTGTTACGAGTGGAACAGAATACAAGTGAAAATTCGAAATGGCAGTAATAAAGAATCAGCTTTTTCTGAAATTGCAGATATAGTAACCCAAAAAGTTGAAGGAGTATGGAAAAAAAACATCAATTCCTGTAGTTTCGCATACTAGAATCATCCAGCTCCTAAGAGCATATCATTTGAACAGTGATGACGTAAGTACTCAAAAAATGTACTTAAGTATAAGTACTAAGTACTCAGTAATAAAAGTACTTAAGTATAAGTGCTAAGTACCAGAGCAAATTGTATATTTGATACTTATAAGTACTAAGTATAAGTACTAAGTGCATAAGTACCTAAGTGGTAATTAACATACCATGGTTAATTTGAAATATTTATAAATTTATTAAACTCAGAAATCAACTCATTATTTACAGTAATTTATTTACATCAATAAAAGAGTTTGTTCTTTTTGAGTAAAAGTAAAGTTTCAAATGATTCATCACTTAAACGATTTCTTTTAGGAGTGAGAATCATTCCAGCCTGGCTAAATATACGTTCCACAGGTGCTGATGATGGCACAGTGATATTGTACTTCAAAAACACTTGTGCGACAGCAGGATACCTAAGGAACAATAATATAGTTGTTAACCAAAATAGCAAATTATTAATTTGTTATTAATACTTGAGAATAAAAATGTATTAGAAAATCAAGCATATACATATTATACATATATAATATATTACAGAAAAATATTGATTACCTTTTAAGTTGTTCCATATCATATGAAGGATCACTAAGATATTGCAGTCCTTCAACTTTTTCATTCGATCGTGATTCGGAACTTGGTTCGTGGAATCCATAAAAATCTGCACTAGTACAACATCTAGTATTTCTGTCTTCATAAACTGTTGAAGAATTGCTCATTCTGACCACTTCTGCTAGAAACAAGTCTTCAACTTGCTCACGAACTGATGATTCTATCCACCTGATTTTAAAAAACGGATGGCTGATCGAAGCCACAACAAATGCTCTCATCTTGCTGTTGCTTGAAATATCTTTAAAGTCAATTATATCGCCAAAGCGTTTATCCATGCCACATTGAAGAGCAGAAACAAGAGCTGAAGTGTACGATGGAGTAAAAGATTGCAGTTTTCGCTGTATAACAAATATAGTTGGTAAGACAGCACCAAAATAAGACTCCATTGAAACCTCACCTTGGAGCTTGTCCAATGCTAGTGAAATTGGTCTCATCAGTTCCAACCACTCATTAAGAAAACTCAAATCTATATTGCTGAACTTCGGCAGCTGCAAACGTTCCATCACAACATTTACTTTATCGCGAAGACTATATATAATGCTATAACAGTCAAATTCAGAATTCCAGCGTGTCCCATTCGGTTTGGGTATTGTTCTGCCTAAGATTTCATGCACAATTTCAGTAGCTTTTGAACTCTGGTGTGATGCGGTGCTGAGAGAGACACACTTACTGGATACTGATCTATATATTCTTTTGTAGTTTGAATCATTATTCAAAGCTTTACTTGCATCAGTTGTAGCAAGCAAGTTTAGAGTGTGTGAAAAGCAAGATACATGAGAAGGAAGATAAATTCCTGAGCTGTCATCTATATTACTTTCCAAAAACTTATCACCAATCTCAACTGGAGTCATTTCTGTATCATCATCATCATCAACATCTATTTGCGAATCATCAGAAATACCTGCCTCTGCAAATTCCTTGAATGCTTTCACGAAATTGCTACCATTGTCTGTCACGACATTTACTATTTTCGATGAATCCAGATCAAACTCGCTGTGAATGTTCACCAACATGGCTGCAATTTTGTCATACAAATGAATTCCACGGAACCTACGGAAGGCAAGTATAACGCCATTGCGCTTAAAATCATCTGGATTTATCCAATGGCAAGTTACTCCAATATAACTTCGAGCATGTTGCGTCCAAATGTCAGCAGTCGTGCAAACAAATTGAAAACTTTTTAGAGTCTCTTTAATAGTCTTCTTCATATCAGTAATCTTTGTGGCCAGAATACCTTTTAATGTCTCGGTACACATAACTCGGGCTTTTGAGTTCAGACCCTGTATCAAAGTTTTAAACCCCTCTCCTTCCACAATTGAAAGTGGTTGCAAGTCGTTGATAACAAAATTCATTATTAAATTCTCAACCTTTTTATTTGATATTGATGATACATTTAATAAGTCAAGTTGCTGTTGTTTTTTATATGGAGTTGAAACTGTGGTAGTTTCTTCATCTGCACCTCGCTTTCTACCCGTCTTTAATTTATTTTCTTCCTCGTGCATCTTTTGTAGATAATTTTCACCATGTGTCTTCTGTATATAAAAATGAAAAATGCAATAAATAGAAATTTAATGGAGAGTTAATTCGAGATTTATTAACAAAATAATATTAATTAATATGTATTCAAAAAAATAGATATTTAAAATGTGAACAAAAACACTTTAACACATATATTTATAAGGATTGTTATATATATATATATATATATATATATATATATATATATATATAATAACTACTATATATAGCGTGCATGTGTATATAGATCATGTAGAGTCTATGATATAGATATATAGATGTCAGAGTGATGTGAGTTAACCACCTTTTAATGACTCAATTAGCCAATGGTTATCTTAACATCCCGCTATCCATGACTAAACAAGAACAAATGTTGATAAGAGAGATAAACAAGAATGTCAATGTGAAAATGTGTGTGTGTGTTTTCATCACAGTTTTCAATTTTTAAATGTTGACATTATCTTATTTTTGCTTAAAATTTTTCTGGTACTTACAGGAAAAATTTATTACTTATAAGTACAAGTACTGAAAAATGTACTTAAGTATAAGTATTTAAGTACAGGTTTCCATATGTACTTAAGTATAAGTACCTAGGTGCTACATTTGTACTTAAGTACGTACTTAAGTACAAATGTACTTAAGTACTCGTCATCACTGCATTTGAAATGCATAAATATTATTAAATCATTAAAAAAGTTGTCAAACGAAAAAAAAGTTGAATTCTTGCAGCAAAGTGAGTTTTTATTTGATATTTGTTCTTGCAAATGTAAGATATTAGGCCAGTGCAGTTGTGTTAGAGAAGTCAAAATTCCCAAAGAAGAGCATGAGTTTTTAATTGATCAAAGAGGTGAAAGAAAAATGAGAATCGGTGGCATTGATCGCAATCGGACTAAAAATTTACAAAAAAAGTTAGCTCGAAAATCTGCATCGACAAATAAGTGCCAGAGAAGTGATACTAATAACACCCAATATAAAATGCCAGAAAAGATATTAATTTCATCAATAAATAGTGATTCAGATACAAATATTTTATTTGCCGAAAAGAAAAGCCTTTCTACCTCAGAAACTATGGAAAATAAAAAGTACATCAAAGGTTTACCGTTGTTGTCGCAAGTATGTGACCGTTATGGAGTGTCTGAAAGAGCTGGTGCTGCAATTGCTTCAGCAGTTTTACACGAACTTTTGTCGGATGTCGTGATTGATAAATCGAAGCTGCGAAGAGAGAGAAAGAAAACACGTGAAGTTTTTATGCAAAATGAAATTCACCTGAATTTACCTGCTTTAAATTTTGATGAACGGAAAGATAAAACACTGAGGATAGTCACAAACGGAATCAAAAAGTACAGGCAAGTAGTTATTGAAGAACACGTATCTATCATTAAAGAACCGGATTCCATTTATTTAGGTTATGTGACGCCATCACAAGGAACGGCTGAAAGCATTGAAATGTCGATAAACGCACTTCTTTCAGCTAAAAATATTGGCACAGATGATCTCCTATTGGATGCGATGGAACAGTAATGAATACTGGCAAATTTAGTGGTTTCATAAGACTATTTGAAAAAAAACTTTAGAGGCCCTTGCAATGGATATATATTATATATATATATATATATATATAATAAATAATATATTATAATGTAATATAATATGATACATATATATATATATATATATATATATATATGTAGATTTTCGCCGGGCGACATTCGAATTCCGCACCACGAATATCCACCCGAGCCTTCACTTCGGCGGAGTCTTTCCTGGCCGGGATCCGCCACTCTACAATAGACCCTCTCAGGGTCTGAAAACACGGGCCGGGCGGAAGTTTGTTCGCGCCCTGCTTGTTGACTAGAGACGCCGACCTCGTCAACTATCAACAAGTCTTCTTCAACATCCATTATTTTAGGTAGAATAATTAAGCCGAGCCAAACTTCAAGTGTACACTTCTTTTATTCAATAAAAGAAATAAAATAACAAACAAAATAATACAAATCAAACCTCTGTCCTTATTAAAACAAAACGATAAGTGCAAAATTAATCTATTAATAATACAACTGACAAGCAAGAGACCAAAACCTAAAATTAAGATAACAAACGACCCGTCCCTCTATATCTCAACTCGCGGCCTTTTATATGTTTTTACCGCCCTATCTACATAACGCTTTCTATATCATAGAAAGTTCTATACTCCTATCTATACTCTTTTCCTATACTCAGAAAAGCGATACAGCACAGCAGCGTCGCATATATAGCATATCAAATAACAAAATATACATGCATAGAATGACTAGTAAAATATATAGATATGTATAGGCGGCACGCCTCAAAGACGCAATCATTATCATCACAATTTCACAAAATATACAGGCGGCATATTTCAATCGCGCAATCATTATCATCACCATACAGGCGGCATATCTCAATCGCGCAATCATTATCATCCCAATCGTCACAACTTCACATATATATATATATATATATATATATATATATATATATATATATATACTCACTAAAATAATGATAAAATAAATTATTATATCTACATTTAATTTTTATCATAAATTCTAAAATAATATTTGCCTTGCTTTCTACTCGGAAAAGATGAATGTAGACATCGCAAGCACGACTGAGCAACGAGACGACACCACGAAGAGCAATAAATCTTTGAAGCAGTAAAACGTTTGCATGGTTCAATGAATCTCACAATACTTTGATTTATTCGTAGGATCAAAATGGTTTAATGTTTGATGGATAGACACCATCTTCATTGGCTGCTTGTTTCTGTTTTGTTTGGCAGGAGGACTGGATTAGAAGCCCTGGAAGGATTGGGAGCTTCTAATTATTTTCAGCTGAAAGAAACCGTAATTTTGTCAATTTTTTCACTAATTAATCGTTAACAAATAAAATTATTCTCAAAAACGTGTATGCAAGCCAAAAATGATTTATTCAAATCTGAATTACCGCGTAAACAATTGGAGCTTTCTGGTTAAAAGCGTTGATGCTATCGCTAAAATCTAACCCCTGAGTCAACCAGCCTTATTTTCAATTTTACTATTTGAAAAACTTTGTGGTGCAATTTGAAACCATAAAATCCAAGTGCATTTCTTGGCAAGGTAGCTCCTTTGTAAAACCTCTTTCTTGTGGGCCCTTCCTTCTGCTGCCTATCTGCCTGCTCTTCCATGAATCTTGTTGAATAATTATGCTCTATGTTCTGGATAATATAAAAAATATTGCAACTGTTTATAAAAATTTTATTGTGAGTTATCGAGGGAGTGAAAGTTCGAGCGTTTTCAGTGGAATGGTTCATTTGACTCGAAGATCCATTTTTATGAAGTTAAGTCTTGCCGACATTCCGAAACATGTTTCTATCTGCAAAACTGAAGAAACGTAGAATAAAAACCTGAAGCACCTACGCATTATATCATTATGCATGCGTGATATGTTCGTGATACGTTGAGTGATAATTGCATAACTTAGGAAATGGGATGTCCTTCTTGCCTCACCGGAGAATCTTAAAAATTATTATTTTTTCAATGTTCACCTTTTTTGAACTATCACGAAATAACAAGCATGAAATATTGTAAATAAAACTTTATTAAGAAGTTTTAAAACGTCACAAAATGTTCTGCACGTAAAAAGTTTGTAAAATTTCCACCCCGTCCACTAAATTCTTTCCTTCATTTCCATGGTCGTTTTGTCGTCAGCCGCTCTCACGCCATGCACAGCCTCCACTGCAAGAAACTTCAGCGAATCCACTGAAGTGAGGGGGTGAGTTACACTTGTGCAAATTGATGTTCAGATATGGTTAATTGAAGAATGAATCACCAATGAAAGAATGAACGAATGAATGAATGAACAAACCAACGAACCAACAAATGAATGAACGATCGAACAAACGAACAAATGAATGATAGAGCAACTATATTAAACAGGCATGCAGGCATGATAATATAATGCGTAGGTGCTACAGGTTTGTATTCTACGTTTCTTCAGTTTTGCAGATAGAAACATGTTTCGGAATGTCGGCAAGACTTAACTTCATAAAAGTGGGTCTACGTGTCAGGGGAAACATTCGTCTGTTCGTTAATCTCCATCATTGCAACTCACTCTCAATAAATAAATAAATTATTCACTGTTTTTGAGTCGCCCACGCAAAATGTATTTTTCAGTAAGGCATCTATCTATTCATAGAAAATATGCATCGACAACAGGGCATATGAATGTGTGAATGTTGTTGTTGTGTTGTTGTTGTTGTGTAGTTGTTGTTTTGATGCTGTGTTGCAGATTGTTAGGAAGACATGACGACGATAATGAAGACGTGATGATGATGATGAAATGATGATGATGAGGAGTATGTAACGTGATGATGATGATGTGATGATGATGATGTTGGGATGATATGGATCAAAGTAGAATCATCCAACCAATGCATGCCATCTTTCAACTACCAACAGAGTTTGTCTTTGTAATTATTATTTTTGGCTCTTGTTTGCCAAGCGATAAACTGTTTGCTGTTGAACATAAGCAGATGCAGACAGAGGACGTTACAAGAGGCTTATTCACTAATTACATTTTTTTGCTTTTAAATTTCAACGTTAAAAACTTAGAAACATTTCTATTTGAAAGCATTTGCACTTTAGAATAATAAAATAATTAAAAGATTAGGGGTTTTAAATAATTTTGTTATGAAAATATTTTAACAAGGAGCATGCAAGTCACGTTTCATTCAACATTTATTTCTTTTATTCAAAACATCTGCAAACAATCAAAATGTAGAGTGATCAGTAAACAGTTTGATTCCCTGTTTTAAATATGAATTGTTCAGCCAGCTTTCAAAATTGTGATGTCAAAACAAAATGAAAATAGTTTAACATTTTTAACGCGTCACTGACAGAAGAGTGGTCGCATTATGTCCACATGGACTGCTTCGAATGGCATAGCATCATCAACCCTTGCTTTGTGAAAAAAATAAAATTTAAAAATAAAATTGGAGGTGAATAGGAGTGTGTATGTGTAGTTTAAATGGTTGAAGCGTCAGTTATTTGGTGCTGTGAAGTGATTGATAAGAGCTGCCAACCATTCGCTCGATGCATTATTTCGCATGTTTGCACAATGTCCCTAACATTAAAAAATGTTTGCACTTTTAAAAATTGAAAAATCATTGATCAAACTTTTAATTTAATTTCATTTAAAAGTGGAATCTGCGCCTTCTATATTTATATACAACATCATTCGTGCCTGTTAACAAATAAAATTTGAGAAGCAAATCACTTTCATTCATTAGACTATCAGGATCCATGTTCATTTATTAAACGTCTCCATTCTCTTTCTCCATAACAATTACATTCAGGTTCAAAATATTTTCTTGTGTTATTTCAATTTGTTTGAAAATGCATGGGATTATGGAAAAAGCAAAAGACAAGCAAGATAAATGTCAGCCACCCAACCTTTCACACCTGACCACAATCCAAGCAATCCAGCACAATCCAGCACAATCCAAGCAATCATTCAGAGCACATCCGGAGAAGACCCAGTCACACAACAGGAAGAACAATTTGTATGCACGACTTCCAGCTCATTTAATATTTACTGCTCTACTATATATGCCAACACAACATATTTATTATCTTTGGTTATTATTAGTCGGTGGTTAAAACATGTCGTCCTATGGCGCTTCATTGGCGTCCAAAATTAAATTCGTAAATAACATTTATCACCGAAACAGATTATTTTTATTGCATGTACCACATTAAAACTTTGGTAGCAAGTTCCATTCTGATCTTTCAAAACTAATAAATTATGAAGTTTTGGCTTAAATTGAATGTAAATTTTGTGGTAGATTTACACTCGCACTGATTTCGTTTTTTTCAGTTCATGTTGTTTTGAAATGAAATTTTTAAATTTATTTACAAATATTTCTTAAATGAATTTATTAAATTTTAAAACTTTAAGACACCTTGAGCTGAACTAAAAAAAAACATAGCATTTGCCCATAGGAACATGGCAACAACCCTCGAGATTAGAGTGACTCAATTACCAAGGATGGCCAATGAATTGTACTACTCACCAACAAATTGTACAACTCATAAATATAGTGCAAAATATATGTTAAACTTTTTGAGAATGCGATTATTAAAAATTATTATGAAACAAATAGCAACTTACTTTACAATATTAAAAAAAATGTTTATTAATTTTTTTTTTAGAAAATTTTCACAAATGAAATTATTTTGCTATTAGTAGATTATGCTCTCAGTCATTTCATAAACCTATTATATTCTAAAATGTTAACGTTTATGAAAATATTTCAAAATACTTTTCTAGCACACGATTAAAAAAACTTGATAGAAAATACAAATAGGTGGAGTGCGTGCAGCGTTGAATTATTGAAGGAACATTCGAGACCCCTGTGGTGACCATGAAAAGAAATTGCCATGTGATGACACAACCCACACAAACTGCTTTCGGTCGCATTTGGACAGCCTAAAAAGAAAGTCACTTAACATTTATACGGGTAATTAAAACTTTTAAAAAGCAAATTTTACATTACGTTTGATTTTATCACAAATTTAATTTATCAACAACTATACTAACGTACTACCAACAGTTTTATGCACCAAATACGTGAAAATTAACATCAGCATCGATATTAACAAAAAGCAATTTGTAACAAAACCTTCGGCGTCTGTGATATGGCGAGAACATTAACAATTCGGTTCATTTTATTTTAATGTAACCTCATGTACCAACAGCCAATGTCATCATCGTAACATCTCAACATCACATCATCACAAGGAAACCAGCCAAATAATCATGTCCAGTAAGCAAACCACAAAATAATCATCTCCTAATGTCAGTTAATGGTGTCATAGTGACATTAAACACCGCTTCACTGACGTTTATTTCATTGGAGAAATCGTTGAAATAGCTGCTGTTGTCACCTAATCACTATATCATGTATCATATCATATATCATGTATCATATCATATATCATATCATATCGTATCGTATCGTATCATATCGTATCGTATCATATCATATATCATATCATAACACACATCGTATCATATAGCATCATATATCATATTTCATATAAAATTTTTACATACAACTTGCGTAAGAGTGAAAATACAAATGTTAGAATTGCATCACACCCTCGTGCGATTCTCAGAACATGATTTGCATTTGAAACAAGCCAAGTAGAAGGACACTGTTGAAGTATGATGATAGTAAGTTTGTAAGGTGTGACATGGACCAGAATGCGATCATGTCCACAACTTACCGCAATTCAAGCGTGTTTACGTATAATTGATAGCTAGAAGAACATCAGAAAGGTTCTCATGAACACTGCTGAATGTGGAGACCTCCAACAATTATAACAAAGTCCGAAACTATAAAATAAGTATCAACATTTTTTCAACAAAAATTTCCTTAATCAAAACTAAACCGCATTAAAAAAAACAACAACAATATCACTACCAGCAACAACAACCACAACAACAACAACCACAGCAACAACAACACTGGGTTGAAAGTTCAAAATTTCGAATTATAAAATGAATGATTGATTGCAACTTTGGTAGCATAAATTGATGAGCTGATGAGGTTATGGCATGCTGTTCTCTGTGTTTGGTTTCCTGGGAAGATTAATATGCACGTGGTTTGAGTTTCGCATCGAGATTGTGTGGAGTTTGGTCTTCTTTGTTTATTTGGGTCGACATCATAACGAACTGATCATGCAAATTGTTCCAATGCGCTGAAGGGATGCTATAATGTGACAATTCGCATTCAAACAACTCTCAAAATCGCGTTGTAACTCTTAAAATGTTGGCAGTCTCAAAAAAGCAACTTCATCAACTTATATATTTTTTTTGCAGAAACCGCGACAGATCAATATTGACAAGTCTGACGATTTCTCAGCAACTCATCCAACATCGTCAATCCTCTCCAGCATGCTGACAGTAAATGCACATGCGGGTTCAAATTTTCGTCCACAGTATTAGCAATAACATTACAATAATGTTTATTACAATAACGATGACATAAGAATAACAGAGCTACCTTAATGTAATTAATTAAATTGCAGCGTTGAAGGTCCCGCTGCAACATTCCAACATTCAACTCGAAGCAGTGTTGAAAGTTGGAATGAAGTTTCAACAGAATCAAAAATAGGATGAATAATTTCAAAAAATGTTTTTTCTGAAGCAAAACATGCAATAAAAAGCCACTGAACAAAGTTGCAATGATGTTTAATAAACAAATTTCTGACGCAGACACCAACTTTGAAACACATTATCATGTCGGCTTCTATGATTCCTACGCTGAAGTTTTACGACGGCAGATCGAGGCAATGAGTAGATGTTTTATGGCTTGTAAACAGCGGGCGGTGTTGTTCGTGTGGGTTGTCTTACGTCGTCAACAATAATGATGACGTCATCCTAAACTGTCTTCTTTTGTATTATTCTCGCTGCGACATCCATTACAACTTCTACTTTACTAATATTACCATGACCACCACCGTCGCTACCACTACTACTACTACTACTATTACTACTACTACTACTACTACTACTACTACTACTACTACTACTACCACCACCACCACCACCACCACTACAACAACCACTACCACCCCCACAACAACAACTACTACTACTAAAATAATAATGAGAACAATAATAATATTAAGAATAATAATTATGTGGCGTATATTTAAACAGCTGTAAAAGATATTCATCGCAGTAGCTGGCTTGTGTCGATCGAATTGAATTAATTTTTAATTAAATGAAGCAGCCCGTGAAATCTCGACTAAGGATAGCAGTTCATGTGGTAATCGAGAAGGGGGTATGATGTTTGCCACCGGCTCGATTATGGAGCCCTCAGTCTGGAGCCAAAGAATGTGATAAGATATTCTATCTTTTAATTCTCAACCATACATCATTCTTCCAGATATTTAAATCCACGCGGATGAATGGACGTGTTATTATCAATCATCAAAATTGAAAATTGATACTACTACTACTACTACTAGTAGTAGTAGTACTACAACTACTGCTACTACTACTACTACAACTACTACTATTACAACTACTACTAGTAGTACTACTACTACCCCCACCACCACTACCTTTACTACTACTATTACTACTACTACTACTACAACTACTACTTATAATAATAATAGTAATATAACAATAATAAAAAAAACAACAACAGATAGAATTAAAAAAATGTTGTTGTTATTAAATATGACAATATATAAACATAAATCCTTTTGCCAATATGGAAATAAAAAAATGGAAATAAAGAGGGTTCATGAAAGTAAATACTGTATTTCAGTTCATTTATTTATTACAATTCTTTGTTCAACATCTGCATGTGATGGATCGGAATCTCTTTGCGATCGAACGAGATCACTGCAACATCGGTACCAGGCATTTTGCCATTACGCCACCTCGCCGCCATATCATGTGAAAATAATTACAGGCTCAAAACTCAATTAAACGCTAAATCTCAAATTAGCAAAACGTGTAAGAATAAATGTGTCAATGTTAACGACATTCATGCGTGGAAGTGCTTGCACCTCTCTTGCTTGTACCCATCACCTTCATCGTCCGCGAGGGTTGTCCCTCTCGGAAGGGTGTGGCATAAGGGTCGGGATGAACGATGAACGAGCGATGGAGAACCTGCAATTCACTGGTGAGTTGATGCAGAGGACAACAAACATAAGCATGCTTGCCACACACGTCAATCGCTTACAAGAGGTATCCATTCGGAAAAAAATATTAAAAATGGTGACAACAATTTACCGTGATGCAAAATTAATTAAATAACAATAATATACTAGCGCAGTAGCAAAGAACAAGCAATAAAACAGCAATAAATAATAAAGAACAATAAAAAACAAACATGGCGTGCCTACGTTCTCTCTTATCTTGGCACTACACGGCCACGTTCTGCAGCTCGTTCGCATGCTTTACTACGCGCAGTGCACTCCTACGTTCACATAAACGTTTGTAGACGGGATATTTTTCGTTTCGCTGAAATCAAGATAATGCTAGGATAACTGCAAAAATTAACTCACTCCAACTAACTGTGGGTTGAATCATTTCTTTTCAATCCTCTCGCTTCCAACAGCTAAGTTAAAGGATATTTTATGAATATGTTTTGGAGAGATAAAAATTTCAAGTAATTTTATGCAAGGCATGATAATTTTAAATATTTCATTGAGTTGTCTTTAGTTGAAAGTTGTGTGAATAACTGATGCATTTGTATGCGTGAGCACGGCAGCTTTCAGTGATAGAAATAATAGATAGGACGGTGTTCATTTGGCTTGAAGTTAAAAAGTCATCACTTTATCATCATCATCGCCATCGTTGTCATCCTTCTAATCATTAAATTGATTTTCAGCGGATTCAGCGCAAACATTAGTAAAAGAATTATTTTAACACCAAATAACTTTTCAATCAAATTTAGGTGCAATTTTTTGCTGGGCTTTGAAATAAAATTAGAAATTTTTTTTCATTTGTATTCTTTGGCAAAAACTTAGGAACTTAATTTAGCGAAGATATTAATAACTTGTTTTAACGTTTGTGTTTATTAAAGCGTCGTCTCATTGAGTTATTTCAGATAACTTACACAAAGTTTGTTCGTTTGATTGTTCAATTTGAACGATTTACTTACCAATTCGGAAGATTTGTAAGTAAATCCCTGCATAAAAAATTCATTTTTTCAGTTTCATAAATTTCACGACAATTTTCATTCAACAACATTCTTCAATATTTTCTCTAGGAAGCAGAATGTGCTGGGACACAAAAAAAATTTCACAGAGAAAATAATGAAGTTTTAAAAATCATAAAAGTTGCATCTGAGACTAATGTTGGATCAGACAAGAACATGCATGTTATCAGAGGTTGTTACCAAAAAGGAGATGTGTGTGGTTGAAGTTATAA